GGATGGTAAGGCATGAAGATCATGAGTTCAAGGTTAGTCTGAGCTGTATAGGGAGTGAAATGCTGTCAGATATCAGGGGAGGGCATCTGTCCATACCTCGACTGTAAACATAACGAGAAAGGCCTTAAACTATGTCTCGATGAACTACTTAATAATAAATGCTAATTTGTTTATTATTCAGCTCAAAATTAAGATGGGCACAATGATAAAGGTATTGTTCATTATCTATAGAACACAATATGCTAAGCAGAAACTAAGTACACTTAGTTTGAAATGAAATAGGTTAAAGGACAAAATTTTCCTCTGCCTTTAATCCATCTTCTTCATATGGGCACTTAGGATCTGACAGTTAATGAGTATCAAAACTCTAGTTATAGTACAGACAGAAATATAACACCAGAATAGCTCTCCTTCTCAGTCAGTACTTAATGCAGCCAGAATGACTTATCCAAACACAAATATAATATTACCCTTAGTTAAATCCTTCAATGGCACCTCAGGGTTTTTTGTTTTTGTTTTTGTTTTTTTTAAGATAGACAAATTTGGGTTGGAGATACAGCTCAGTTTGTAAAGTACTTGGTTGGCATTCACCAAGCACAGGATTGATCACCAGTATTACATAATAAAGGAATAGTGATTCACACCCATAATCCCAGCATTTAGGAGGTAGAGGAATCAGAAGTTCAGGGTCAACCTCAGCTACTTACTGAGTTTATCCGAGATCTTGTCTTAAAATAAAATAAGATAAGATAAGATAAGATAAGATAAGATAAGATAAAATAAAATAAAATGACAAAGACAAGCTCCTTTAAAAGGCCTCTAAGGTCCTGTGTAGCCTGATTGAGGATTCCAATCTCTTTCTGATCTTAATGCCTCTTCCTCCTAAGTGTATTTTGGCCACTTTCAACTCCCCATTCCCCACTTTTATACCCCTTCTTCTCCTTCTAGAACACTTCTTTACAATATATCCCCTCCGTATTCCATATCTTTAAATTATTATCATTATTATTATTGATAGGATCTCACTGTGTAGCCTTGGCTATCCCAAAGTTTACTGTGTAGACCAGGATGGCTTGAACTCACAGAGATGCAACTGCCCTGCCTCCTGAGTGCTGGAATGAAATGATTAAATGCCCTTAATCCTTTCCATCATACTTAGTTGGGTTTTTAAAAAATTGTCCTTTGGTTTGTTTTGGTTTGGTTTTGGTTTTGGTAACCCACCAAGTTTAATTAGGGTTGCTTACATGTTCTGGGCTTGGGGTTATTTTTTACTGGAGCAAGGGCACCTTACTAGTGACTACTCTCCTGGGGAAAAATGACTCTCCTCTCCCATCTATGCTAGAATATTGATGGTTTTGATCTTGTGCAGGGAAGCTGGCTGCTGTGAGTTCATGAGCACAGTGTCCATGCCATTTGCACAAGTGTCTCACAGCACTTTGCCTCTCACAGTCTGTCCATCAGCCTTTCTGAATTGTGAATGTGTGTAATATACAGATGTCTCACTTAGGGCTGAGCATCCAACCGTCATGTGTTCTCAGCACTTTGACCAATTACGATTCTGCATTAACCACTGCCCACTGCAAAAGGCTTCCCTGACCAAGGTTGACAGCAGCACTAACCTAGGGGTTGAATGTTTAGAAAGCGGTTTGTTATAGCAAAACAACAGTAGTATGTTCTCCTAAAGCCAGTGACCTCCCCAGCATTGGGCTAGAATATTCTATATAGCTCAAGCTGGCCTGGAACTCACAGCAGTCCTCCTGCTTCAACCTCCTGAGCTCTGGAATAATAGATGTGAGCTACCATAGACAGAATCTTTTTAACCAGATTAAAAGAATGTCAGACTTAATGACATACATCAAATGATGGGAGAAATATACTTTAGGGACATGAACTAGGAACAGGAATTATTCATAGGTACCAGTTATATTAATTCAGATGTTCTTTTAACCTGGTTAAAAAGGTCCTATGGTAACTCATACCTGTAATTCTAGTGCTAACAATTGCCATGAGTTCCAGAATAGCCTGGAAAGTGAGATCCTGTCTCAAACCAAACCAAACCAATATTCGAGTGTTAAGAAAAGAGATTAAGCTGGGCAGTGGTGGCGCACGCCTTTAA